CATTGTGTTAGGTGAAGCTTCTTTCTTTCAGGTGATACTGCTTTGGGAACTTCATTGGGAATTAAAACTTGTTTATAATTCGTGGGACAACAACCTGAGTTAGTGCTGGCAATGCAGATTTTAATAAGGTGAGAAAGGACATTGATTCTCTTTTCTGCATTATTAATTACTTGTGTCTCAGGAAAATAATGTTTGTTTCTTGTCACATACATTAGTACAAGAGGTTTCAGCTATTTCAAGCCTTGAAGTTACTGATTTGTTGGGAAAGAGGCACTGTTTGTTGGATTGGGATTTGTGTCCTCATTCCCCACCTCAGTACTGGGGCTGAATCCCTTGCAGTAGTTTTAAAATTACCGAGAACAAGCTCTGTTTTCTTCATTGTGTTTTGTGGGTTCTTTTTGAAGGAGTTTGTGCCCTTTTCAATATGTGGCACTGAGGTTCAAGAGTGTTTTGGTAACTCTCACATCTGGTTTGTTCATTATTGTATGACTTGGCTTGGTCTGTTTTTATTTTTGACATCTTTAAAATAGCATCAGTAGCAAAAGAAACAGTCAGTGATGTGTGATGGGACAATACCAAGAATCTGTTGAAAAGTTCTTGCATGCTCAGTAAAGTTTCACAAGCAGAATACAAAGTTTCATTACTTTTATGTAAAGAAGAGTAACATCAAATAGCCTAAGTACTTGTTTAGTTACCTTTTAGAACATGATAACTGAAAATGAAGAGCTTAAGCCAGGGGCCTTTTTGCCTCTGAAACTTAAAAGCAGATGAAACCATTAAACACTGCAGTGCTTAGCAAAACAATTTTTGAAGGTGATAAACCATCTTTAAATGCCTATAGCCTCCCTGTAGTAAGTGCAAAAAATTATATCAAGTACCTTTTTCATGTTTACCTTATACTAGTTGATGAAAACTTGGAAAAAATGCGGGAAAACAAGTGGAGAACAAAAAAGCAGGGGAGTCTGTTTCTCAGAAGATGATGGTGTCCTGTTGTTCCAGGTCACCACATAGACAGAGGCCTTAGAACAAACCTCTTCTGTTCACTGGCTCTGAGCAGTGCATTCTAAAATACGTCATTTAGTCTTCATTACTTAAATATTTGGTTACATGAGGTCTTCTCTTTTAGCCTGTATATGTTAAGATTAGTTTTATAAACATTTTAAGATGTTAATTTTATTCCTTCCTTGTCCAGTTCCTATTTTTGTAAAAACACGTTGCTCAATAACCAAGATGGGTTGAAATAAACAGAAAATTAGAAATACTTTTTGGCCAGTTTTCACGTGATATTTGAAAAAGGACTTCTGCAGGTATAGTTGCATAAAAAAAGTGATGTCACTGCTCAAGCACTTGTGTGGTACATATTTCTGATTAGTAAAGGATGTTTTTATACTGAATTTGGTAATAAGTCTGTGTACTTGAAAGCCAGCATGTTTTATAGTTGCCAGTCTATGAAAAATCAAGATTTTTTCAGGCAAACAGTAAAAGTACAAATGCAATACAGAATTAAAAGCTTTCAAATACAGTTCACAAACTAAAATTATCAGTTTCAAATGGCAGTGATTTTAAATCAGTCTGCTCTGGATGGCATAAATTGAATTAATCAAATGTTGAAGTTCTTCAAGGTATTATACTGTTGTTGCTGTCTTGTCATACTGTTGTGCATCAAAATAGAAACCAGTTCCATGCCTTGACCTATTGCTTTGCACTTCCCCACCTGATTTCTCTTCCCAGAATAGCAGTAATAAGGTGAAATAATCTCTCTAGGGAAAGTTGAAGACTGGGAGCCATATTATATTGCAGAGCCCTGGAGAAGCAGCTATGTATGCTAACAACTAAAACCCAACTGCGTTTTTCAGTCTGGCCGTGAAGCCAGCTGGCACTGAGTGAAAGCCTCTGATCTTCCAACCAGAATGGACTTGTTCTAAGTGCTCACTGGGTCTCAGGTTCGTGCTGACACCTGAAATGTGCTTGGGAGCAGCCCAGAGGAGTGCTGGGTGGCCTGGGGTCAGTGCTGTTCTGTAATGGGGAAATGGTGGGGTCCTCCAGCACCACTTCCCTTGGACTTGGCCTCAGTGTCCTAGGGCATGGTAACTTGCTGACAGCGAAGCTAGGAGGGGACTGAATGCTGCTGCTGTCAAAGGTCACTGTCTTCTGTGTCTCTTAGTCACCATTTCGAATGCCAGTTGATGCAGCTGCAATGTAATTTATCTCCCCCACAAAATTTATTTGAATACCTTTTAAAATAATAAGGCAGTTGCTGTCTTGAACACTGGTTATACTGAGATGTGGAGGCATTTGTTACTTTGGACTTTCTTAATGATCTAAAGTGGTACTTCAGTTTGTCCACAGTGAGGATCAAGGCCTGAGAATAAAAAAATAAAGGTCAGAATACTACGCATCCATTTGAGTTGAGAAACAGATAGGTAATTGTGTTAGCTAGAACATGTTAAAAAAAAAAAATCCAGAATGCCTAAGATTTTAGGACAGAGATAGAGCCAGTTCAGTAAAAATAAATCTCATCTGATCCTATCAAGTAAATCTGTGTGTAGGAGGTTCCAATTCAGTTGAATTTGTAGAGGTGCTTTTAATAGTGTTACACTTTCATAAGAGAAATTGATATTTAACAGTTTAAGAATTTTTTTTTTGCATTCAGTTGTACGCAAAGCTGTCTCTTACATTATTAGTGAAACAATTTAAACCCTTTGCTGAGTTTATTTTAGTGTAATTTCACAAACTTGTTGCAACATACCATGTATGGAGGTAAGTAAGTGCTACCAGAATGACTGAAATATATTTTTGTTATTGCAAGTGTGATTTAACAGCTAGAAACAAAGAGAGCAGCACTGTGAGGCTGTGCAGTGCAGTGGGAGTCTTGAACCCCAATTGTTACAAATTTAGGATGTAAACAAGTTTATTTTGACAATTGAAAGAATTTGTATCCTAGATGGAAAGATGAACTGAGAGGAGATAGAAACAGTTACCTTTTTCTTACCTTAGGGTGAAAATAGTATGAGAGGTTACTTCTTCATACATATGAAATATGTATATATGAATACCCAGAGAGCTAGTTGTGGCAAGGCCAGCTTAAATGTTGCTTTAAGTGCATTAGTAGCTACCCTTACACTCAACTGGTGTAAGAAAGTTATTTCCTAGGTACAGATGAAAATTAAAAAAAAAAGAGAGAGAGACAAAAGAAAGGGCAGGGTCTGCACTTATTAAAGGTTTGAATATCATAAAAATATAACTGAAATGGGAAGAAGCCACCATACTTTATTTGTCAGGAAAAGATAAAGAAAATAATAAAGTAGGTTTAGCCCAGTGCTCCCCTATGGCCAAAGTTGAACTAGTCTTGTTTAAAGCTGCCTCAAAAAAGGGCATTTGCTACTGAATTTTTCAGAGCCATGCATGTGTAATTTTTGTGCAGTGTTGAAAGTAAGTGGTCTCAAAGGTGATCTACAGTTTTTTAAGATAAAAGATTTAATTTGACCAGAAGTATGCAAAATACGAGCTTGTGTTCCTCTCTGCATGGCCCCTGATGTTACATACAGCTCTTTGTGTTGTGCAGTTCTGTCTAGTGATGCTTTCTTCCTATGCAGTCATGCAGTTATTTATGTGAGTGGATAAGCACTAAGCACAAGATGCTTTTGCAAGCAAGATCCACTGTAATTGCTTTCTCTGCCTGCCGAAAGCAGGCTCTGCCTGGGGTCTGCATGTGTCCTGCTCCGTAGGAGCGGCTGGGGTTGTGTTCCTGGCTGGCCACCCAAGTAGCACTGGCTGCTTTGAACTGGTTTGGTCTGAAGCAGACAGGCTCTGTTAATCTATTCTGTATCACACTTGGCTGTGAGCCATGACTAGATCTTGTATGCTGCTCCTGTGACTTCAGGGAATGAATTTTTGTCTTTCTTTTAAGTTTGGAGCATTTGAAACAACCTACATGGTTGATGTTTTAATGGCATGTGCTCAAGGATTGTATGTTAAATTCCATGAGGATATATTTATTGAGTGGGAAGCCTGTTGAGAAGTTCTTAACAGACTGGGTAGGACAAAGGGAGTCTCACTCAGTGTGTTCCTACCCATACTGGGTTTTGGGAACAGCTTCTTGAGAGAAGTGTTCCCAGAACCATGCCCAGTCTTTGCCTTCAGAAAAGCTGTTTGGAGCAACGTAGGTGGCCGCTGTCAGGTCCTCCATGTGTAGCAGGTCAGGTGTGCGCCAGAGGTACGAATAACTGGAGGGAACTGGAATGCCATTACAGGCGCACCTGCCTGGACTGCTGTGCCTCAGAAAATTCTTGCAAAGCTGGTCCTGGAGGACCACTTACAGCAGGTTGTGGAGCTTTGCTGTCTGGACCTAGGGCTGCTGCTCCTTGCTCAGTGAGGATATACAGCACAGCAGAAATTGTTTCTCGTGATTTTAGGGGACCATGTGGTAATTGTGCAGTCATATTTATTTTTCTTTCTCAGATTTGAAGGAATATATTATTTAGAAATTATAATGAGCCTGTACAATGCATAAAATGCATGTCGACACCATCTTGTACCTGTGCAGTTCTCCAGTGCAATCATTAACAATGTGTTTTACCATTTGGTGACTTCTGTCTTGCTTAACAGCCTTGCATGACACTTGTATAGAAAAATACACATCTTTTCCCTAAGAAGCAGGCAAAGACATCAAGTAATGCCTTTCATATTTTGACTTGCTTTAAATTGCATTTATTGTCAGATGAGTTCTTGTCTTATAAACTTGTCATATCTCTCTTTGAACATCATTTTGTTGTTAAGTTCGTTGCAAAAATACAGAGAAAGCATACTAGACTTCTGAAATCTTACAGTAATATTTTCAGATATTACTCTAAAGGATGAACCATTTCCTCCAGCTTAAAATATTAAGCCAGCATTGCTTCAGCTTGCTTTGCAAGGCTTAACTATATCTGCAGTTATGTAAGTTTCAGTTATGTGCTATTTCATGGGCATCTATTTAAACATACAACTATTATTTTTAGTTGAAATATAGACTATATAAAGACTTAAAAGATGTGGGATCAAGGTGGACAACCTTGGCAGCAATGGCCTTTGAACCAACAGCAGTGGATGCAGTCATTTCAGCACCAGCAAGATCCGAGTAAGTATATAGAAAGCTTTGTGGATTAATTTTTTTAATCTGTTGTCATTTGAGTTTTTGAATCTTTGTTACAGAGCATGACACATAGTTGCCCTTTTGTAGCTGCTCTCAAGATAATACATTTATGATGCTTTTCAGAACTCGAAAAAACAGAAAACATACGTTGAGTCCAAATGCTTTCACACCATTAATATATAATATGCAAAACAGAGGCAAGCAGCCTGAGTTATCCTAAACAAATTATCAACATTTTACCAGTCATACAGATCAACATTTAGAGTTCATTTACTTTTACAGAATCTATATCCCTGTCAGTTGTTTAGCCAAGTTGAATAATTTATTTGAGAAAATCTGCTTTTCTGTTTAGTACCTGTGTGGCAGAAGTACAGGTATAATGCAGATATATATATATATACAGAAAAACTCTCATTGGAAGACTACTGTGATGTTTGGTTTAGGTTACAACAGTGATAATCATGATCTCTTGTTTGGAATTTTTTTCCCCACCAAACACTTTAAACAACAGAACATAATATACCTTAAATTGAGAATGAGGTGACAACAATTCAAAATTTCAAGAGAAATAGAGAAAGAGATAAAGAGCATGGAGGTGTGTATTTAATACTAGGGCAGAGTGATGAGGCACACTGGTTTTACTCTTACTTAAATTTCTGTTAAATTCACTGGAACATTTTCCTGACTTGACAATGAGCAGAAGACACACTAGTGTTCTCATTTGAGAGTGAAATTTATTTACTGGTAGGAATGGCAGTAAAGAAAAAAATGGGGGAGAGAACTGTAACATAATATAGCAAGGGTTATACAAAGAGTATACATTAAAAAGTCATTTTGTAATGATGTATCTTTCTTGCACTCCAGTCTTCATTAATTTAGAATTTAAGGCTATGGATATTTATTTCTGATGTCAAAATTAGCTCACTTATGAAAAAAAGTGCATTTACTACCACCCATTCAGTGCTAATGTGAACCTAAAAATAATGTGCCTTATGGCATTTTGAACATGTGCAGAGAAACTCTACTTCAGCAAGTCTGTACACTGACATTTGCTTTGTTTCTTTTACTGTACACTGTGAATAAGTTTTAATGGTGCTCACAGTACTTGCTGAAGGTAAACGTTGCCCATTTCTCCTGAGCAATTAGACCTGTAATTAAAAAGTGGTGTTAAACTGTATTAAACTGTTACTGTGAATCGTAACCTTTTTAATTTCCTCTGTTTATTTTAGGCCAAATTGACTGGGCTGCATTAGCTCAAGCATGGATTGCTCAACGAGAAGCCTCAGGGCAACAGAATGTAGTGGAACAACAAGGAATGATGCCAAACGGACAGGATATTTCAGGAATAGAGTCTGGTCCAAACAACCATAATAATTTTCAGGGTGATCCCAACTTCAACAGAATGTGGCAGCCAGGTTTGTTTTCCCTCCTGTTCATTCCTTTTTTTCATGTAATGACATTTTATTCTTGTAAGACATTTTTGGGTGTGAATATGCCCTGTCCCTCAGGTTTCAAGAGGCAAAACTACCAGTTGACTAATTAACAAGTATCACAACTGCTACTTTCCAGTCAGGTGTTCTACAAAATGGGTTACAGTACAGAACAGTTATCAGAAGGGTCTGATAACACAACTCAGTAATAGGTTTATTCTATCCCTGTTGTAGGGATATGAATATTGTAGAAAGATGGTCTGAATTTCTTTATATATTTATTTCACTGGATCTTATTCTTCTTCTGTGTTACTCAGCTTTTCCTTAGTTTAAGCAATGTTATTCTTAATGTGTAAAAGTAGTCACACAAAACTGGATGGCTAGCCAAAGTTCTCTTGTATATTTACTCTGTTTCTACAAAGCTTCATCTTCCCTCTGTATCCTTCCAAGTTTCTTTTTGGATCCAAAAGTCCTTTGCACACCACTAATAAAAAACTAAAATGGCAATCTGAAAACCTAACCGGCAGGCAATTGATTTTGAAGGGATTCACGTCCCACTAGTGCAAACAGCATGTGTTATATGTTACTTGCAAGCTTTCAAGTCAGTTTGAACATGCAAAAAAAGAACAGCAAGTAGAAAAACTATGCTAACACTTTTTAGTTGCTACAGTTATGGATCCCATTAGGATGCAGATGGGAAGCACAGTGAAAATTAGAAAAATGGGCTAAAGAACTGGATGGAAGGTGAAAATTAACCTGAGAGGCTAGATATTAATTCTGTTACTGGGGGAAGTTACAAGGTAGCTCTGTCTATAGGTATCTGTACAGCAGACATAAGTTTTCTAAGGAAATCAGCCAAAAAATTATGGCCACATGGACTATTTATTCATTCCTTTGACTCTTTGCATTCTGTTAGCGAATTGTATGTTTGAGGGCTTATGACTAGCGTATGCTAGAACCTCTGCTAGGTATTGGACAATCCAAGGAATCATCCATTATCAAGACACAAGACTTTGGAATGTAGGTTTCAGTGGTTGTGCTGTTTACAAAACCATTTGCTTTCCATAGTAGGTGCTTCAAGTCTATTATGCAGAAGAATAAAGTAGGTAATTGCTTTGAAAGTTGAAGTAGAGAAGTAGGAGCAGTTTTTTAACAGTTTAAACAACATGTAAATCCTGTGGTGAAGTCACTGTCACTAAAAATTTATAAAAACAAATTTACAGCATGTCTACATCTGTCCAATTCTGTCCCTCCACTGCATGTTTTCGTTCAGCTGCAGCTATTTGTATTTTCTTCATTTAGTTGAAGAAATTATTGACAGTATAACAGTCTGTAGATGGATGATTCTTTTGAATTTTATTGTCTGTGATGCTGTGAGGAACGTTGTGATAAATACAAGAACACTGAGTGAGTGGTGACTCATGTAAATTATACTAACTTGGTATTGAATTGTATTCTAAATCCTAAACAGAATGGGGAATGCCTCACCAACCCCCTCACCCACCTCCAGACCAGCAATGGATGACTCCAACCCCAGGTCAAATGGAAATTGTTCCTCCATCTGAAGACAGCAACAGTCAGGACAGTGGGGAATTTACTCCTGACAACAGGCATATATTTAACCAGAACAATCACAACTTTGGGGGACCTCCCGATAACTTTGCAATGGGGCCAGTGAACCAGTTTGACTATCAGGTGAAACATATTTGTTGCTTTAATATTGTAGACGCGCAGAGTCCCTTCCGTGGATGTGTTCCTCTAATATCATCTAGCGGCGACTTTCATTCTTCAGTTCTGCAAACATCTACAGAATCTGTTATCTGCTAAGATACATTTTTCCCCAGTACTTTAAAGAAGAGCCTTTGGAGTTTTCAGTTCTGTTCAGAGGCCAAAGAGTTTTATTTTTCTATAGTAGTAATGAGAAATGGCTGTTGTCTTAAATGTTAAAATAAATCACTGTGTTCCAGTATATAAATTAACATTATGTAGCTTTGTGTTTAAAAAAAAAAAAGAGGAGGAGAAGGAAGAAAAAATAAAGTTCAGAAAGATATATTTAAATACACTAGATAATGTACGATAGGAAACAGCCCTGTATTTGCAGGGAGATAGACTGGATGATCCATTGATCTTTTCCATATCTATCTACTGTGATTCTTTGAATAAACAATGGTATTTCTAAAGAAATCCACATCCAATTTTTTTCTTCATTCTGGTATATAAGTCGCATAGCATAATAAACCTGTAGGTGGTTTTAGCACTAATAATGGCAGGAGGAATTGCACAAAATCTTTAAACACAAAGCAGTTTTGTATCTTCCCTCTATTTTCAGTATTTTTCTTTCAAAACACTTGATATAAATGACAAACTGTACCTGTTAAAAAAACCTACATCCTGTTCATAAGCAAACGCAAGGGAAGATGGGCAGATATGTTTTTCTATCTTCTGGGCTGTTTTTTTCTTGTAATTCTGTTGTTCAGCAGTATTGTTAGGTAGTGAACAAATAATTTTCCAATATATTAGTTTATTACAATAATAATATTCTTTGTTTACTATTATGGTACAAACTCTTAAAATTAATTTCTCTAAATACTACAGAAAACTTGTTTTTGCAGTGAATAAAAGAGAGATGCTTGACCTGAAATTGTAGTGGGAGAGTGCTTCAGCACTAGTGACTTTAATAGTCAGTAGAATATTTGATGCTATAACTTTCTTCCTAAACACTCTCCTCTTAAATAGTTTCATTAGGCATTTCTGGGCAGCAAACCTTAAAACAAATAACTCCTCCTCTCGTATGCCTCAAGAGTTAAGGCTTTTGGATTGTGTACAGCTTGTCCAGAACCCAGGATCTATACTAAAATGACATAGTAATGAATTTAATATTTTAATCAACCATACTAATAAGATCCGTGAATGAATACTGGAAAATGCACAGTGGAAAATTCTTTTGTAATAAAAGGTTGAACTTTAAATTTTTGTCCTTATGTTGTAGCTAAACGGAAGGACTGCTAACATAGCTAGACTTTTAAATCTTAGTTTTGTATACTCTTCATTTAACTGCATGCTCTGATACTAAGCTGGCAAGGAACTGATGGAGGCACATGGTGATTATAGGCTTAATGTTTAGCACGGTATAAAAGGAGATCGGTTGAAGCCCTTTCACCTTTTTAGTATCCCTGCTTAAATCTAAGTTTACTCATTAAGTATTTAAAGGAAACTTGTTTCGTGGGGGTCACAGTAAAAGAGATTGAGATCTCAGTAGCCTAGAAATCGTGGATTCCTACTTGCATGGATTTTTGTAGACCGACTTGCTCACATGCTGCATTTGGTGTTACCATGTGAAGAAAAATAAACTGCATTACTCTTTCAGCATGGGGCTGCTTTTGGTCCACCTCAAGGTGGATTTCATCCACCTTATTGGCAGCCAGGACCACCAGGACCACCAGGTCCTCCAGCACCTCCTGCACCTACTCAAAATCGAAGGGAAAGACCCTCATTCAGAGATCGGCAGCGTTCACCTATTGCGATGCCTGTGAAGCAGGAGCCTCCACAGATTGGTACATGTTACCCACTCCTTAATGAAAAAATGTAAAACTGTGTTTTAAAAAGAATTGCAAAATTTGAAGACTTTTTCTTTTAATGGAAAGTAAAAGAGCAGGGAAAGGAAAAGCCATTGTAAATGGTTTTTTCCCCACGATAAGATGTGTAACTTGTTTGAGTGGGGGAGGTGGAGGGTTTGCTTCTTTGTTTTGCAGGGTTTTTTTGTTCTTTTTGGGGGGGGGGAGGTTTTTTCATCTTGCTTAATTGTAAACCTTGCTTATGTAGATGCTGTGAAGCGTAGAACTCTGCCTGCCTGGATTCGAGAGGGCCTGGAAAAGATGGAAAGAGAAAAACAGAAAAAATTGGAAAAAGAGAGAATGGAGCAGCAACGTTCACAGATGTCTAAAAAAGAAAAAAAGGAAAGTGAGGAGGCTGAAGAAGGGGATGGCCCACGGTTACCTCAGAAAAGTAAATTTGTAAGTAGAAGGGTTTGCTTTTTGCTCAGGTTTGTATTTCCTGAAAGGTATCAACTTTTTGGTTTCTTCAAAAGAGAGACTGTGTATTCCTGATTACCTCTTTGGTTTTGTTGCTTGAAGTAAGGTTATGCTGCTACTCTGTTGATAATTACTTGCTGTTTTGAAGTTTTTTATGTCTGAGAGGTAAAATATATTATTTGATCCATAGTAGCAAAAAAACAATGATGAAATTGTTCTTTTCTCCTTTTTTTTTTTTCTTTTGGAACATACAGAGTTTTTGAAAGCCTGAATTCTAAGTCAGCAGCTGAAAAAATTCAGATACCTGTATTTTCTAAACTGAGCCCATTTAGGGGACCTTGCATTGCCTTCACTTTAGTAGTTATCTTGTTTGTAGTGCTAAGTACATGTCTGGCAGTGAACTGACAGCTATGTATTTTCTTAGCTTATGTGGGTAGAGGTACCTGTGTATTTTTTAGGAAAGGAGAAAATAAATAGTTTTATGATAACTGTAATACAGATTTCAGTACAAAATAAACTAAGTTGACTATTACAAATAGAAAATAAGGAGCTTGACATCTACGTTTTTCCTGAAATGTATGATGCTGTTCTTGTAGGACAGTGATGAGGAAGATGAAGATGCTGAAAACACAGAAGCTGTAAGTGTTGGGAAAAGCAGCAGGAGTCCATCCCCAGCTCCTCAAGAGGAGCAAAGTGAACCAGAAATGACAGAAGAAGAAAAGGAGTATCAAATGGTATTAATAATGTAGTTCTCACTAAATGTTTCTGTCTAATTGCTCATATTATTTGCGTATATCAAAGTAAACCACTTTTTCCATGCCTGATATTGTCCTTAGAGGTACAGTGCACATCATACAGATATTTGCATGTCTCTTCATAATGCTGCCTTTCTTATAGAATCAAGGATATAGGTTATATAACTCATGTTTAGCACAATAGTGAAAGAATATAACAACTGTAACTTTTACATTGATTGTTATTTATTCTGTGGTTTTGTTTCACTTGTCAAATATCTGAAAACTTTAGTTATTAAGTGCACCCATCTCAAATCCATGCTTCAACCTCAGTTCACGTGAAAGGGAATGTAAGAAATGTATTCTTGCGAGAAAGAGCTAGAATCCTAAGTCCTAGACCAGCAACAGTTTCACTTTGTGTGCAGAACCTTTGTACTTTGAAATCACAGTTGAATGCTAATTGTACAACTGAAACCTTGTTAATTAAGGCCCTGAATTCTAATAAGTTTGATGAATATATTTTTGTAAAGCATGTGGCCAGACTGAGCATCTTGAAGAACAAGCTACCACCATTTCAATTTTTGTAGTAAATATGTAATAATAAAATCCTCTGTAAGTAACCTCTGATGATTTTTGCAGGCAGCATACCAGAGAAATGTGCTAGTTATTTTTTGAAAGAATAAATGGGATCAGTCTAATTACATTTCTGATTTACATATTCATTTGTTGTATGATCTTTGACATTAGGATCAGTGCCCTGGATACCTGTGTGCAATACATGCAGATACAGTTCACAGTCAAAATACAAACCTGAAAGTTTTGAAATCAGGTCACATTTAAACAGTTTCAGTCTTAGGTTTTTTTAGTCATGTCTGTTTAAAGAAATCATTAAATAAAATGTGTAGGAGACTACTTTCATAGCTATCAAAAGAAGTGAAGTCCTATGTATATAATTTGAATACAGCATTTATTCAAGATGTTTTGGCCTTCAATTGTATATACCATTTTGTTCAGATGATGCTGACAAAAATGCTGCTGACAGAGATTCTCTTAGATGTCACAAATGAAGAAATCTATTATGTGGCCAAAGATGTTCACCGTAAAGCAACTAAAGGTATGCCAGCCTCTGGGTTTTGTTTTTTTTCTTTTTAGTTTCTTCTGCGAGTATTCTATATTTGCATGTCTTTAGAACATTTAACCTCCATAGTTCTCCCTCAAGAACAATTCCAGTATAATGCATCCAACTTGGTAGAGTTCCAATCCAGTAATCATGTACTGTTGTCCTGTGCAGTGTATTGTGAGTTACTTCAGTTATTCCATTTTTTCATGCAATTCATTTCAGTTAAAATGGTGCCTGTGTGTCAATGGCTCCTGAGTTGTAGCTGTTTCCTAATACTATCATCTTTATCTCAAGGCTGTTCAGAAGTGAAAAGAGATGAACTTTGAGTCCTCAATTAGTAATTAATTTGCTTTCACTATTAATGTGTATTGTATTTACATAACAGATTGTTTTAACATAACAGAGTTAATCTAAATATGTAACTACTGAAATTGAAAATTCTGTGCAGATGCTGTAACTTGGAAAGTGATTTATGAGTATATATTTGGGTTTTTTCTGTTCACTGTTAATTTGCAGTTAAATTCTAAATCTTCGTGGTCAGAAAATCTGGAAGTGGTTTTAAATGGATGATACGTTTTTAATGTTTCTTCTCTCCCTCCAAAGAACAGCAATAGTAGTAGATTTAACAATACCATAGACTCATGACTATGAAATCGTGGCTATTTGTGTTAACATGTTGTTCCTGTTGTTGATGTGATACAAAGCTCCTGCAAAACAGCTGGCACAGTCCAGTGCACTGGCTTCCCTTACTGGACTCGGTAAGTATGTTCCTTATTTTTGAGAGGGCTTAAAGGGGGAGTTTTGTTCTTGCCTTGCATTTCTAGAAATTGTATTTTGAAACTATATTTTAACTGCCCGGGAGTATGGGTCACTTTCTGATAACTTTATCATTATCAGCACCTTTGTTTGTTTCACAGGTGATCCTACTGATATGTAAGTGGGATAGTGTTTGGAGTAAAGGACTAGGCAGTTAGTGTATGAGAATCTTACCCTAATTTTGAAAATATGTAAAACTTTTAGATAAATTTACATTTTGAAGTGTGATAGTTTCAGAAGCACACTGCAGTCTTTAAAGAGAGGAATACTGTTTTATATTTTTCTCCTCTCTTGATCCATCCAAAACAGAGGGGAAAGTTGATAGAAGAGTAATGTGAAAGTCTATAAATGAAAATATTACAATCTTTGTAATTATTATTTTATTGAAAAGCTACATAAGCGCAAAGGCTCCCATATCATATATTACCATAAACAACACGGGAAAAATAGATTGAAATTCTGGCTTGAGAAACAACTGCAAAAGATCTTTCCCAACATTATTTTTATCATCTAAAACATACTACAGCAGCGTCAGTGATCAGTTATATGTTCGTTACATGTAATTTTGATGAATTAGATTGAATGTTATCATCACAAGTATTCACGTTACAAAACTAAGTAAAGATTCTAAGAACCTTAGACTGAAAGAAAGTAAAATATCTCTGTGTCAGATTTAAATTGACTTTATCCTTCTTATCAGTCCAGTAGTTATTAATCTCTGGGGGAGAAGAAAGCCTGTTTCTGTTCCATGTCCATACCTATCAAAGTCCAGTGTTTGATAAATCAGTATAGAAAAATTGATATGGCATTCAGAATTTCTGTAGCCTGGACTACAGAGGCGGCTGAAGTCATTTCAGAGGTGTCTTCTGGGAAAGATCCCAGGCATTTTCTGTCCGGTTGCTGATACAGAGGCAGGCACTATTACAATCTTCACAGGGAGCTTTTTTGCCCTTCCATACAATGGAAAAAAGTATCGTGATCATAGTGGTTGCTTGCCGAAAATAGACAAGCTGTTCCAGAAGGAGTAGAACCAGACAGTGAGCGTCAATGCAGATATGGGAGCCTTGAACACACCAGTCAAACAACATTGGCACTTACCAGAATAAAGTGACTTCTTCAGAGAAGAGGAAGTGAAAGAAGGGAATGTTACTCTCCTCTTTGCCTCACAGAAATATTAAGAACAAAGCTTAACCTTTCCTCGTGATAGACTGGGCTTTATGCACGCAGGTGGACTGGGTGGTTATGGATCAGGAGACAGTGAAGATGAGAGGAGTGACAGAGGCTCTGAGTCATCTGATACTGATGATGAGGAATTACGACACAGAATCAGGCAAAAACAGGAAGCGTTTTGGAGAAAAGAGAGAGAACAGCAACTACTACTAGAAAAACAGCTAGAAGGTAAATCATATAGTGTCTTCGTACTGTGCTGCTGTATATGGAGTTTGCTACTTAGTATATTTAAACTGATGGAAGAGAAAATTCATTTTATGCCAAATGTAGAAATAATGTTATTTATTTTTAATTAAAATGTTTTAACAAAAAAGATGTTTGAGCTACTTGATCAAAATGGGGTTTGCTGCTTTCTTGTTAAAAAGAAAAAAATGCATATAGCGTTTTCCATAAATTTTTCCACTTCAGCGTATAAAGGGGAGGCATGGTGCATAAATGCATGCTCTAGATATTGTACTGTACAGATATTGTATAAACAATCATAGCACTTTATAAAAATGCACATGTGTGTATACTGTATTTTTAAAAATTATTAATATCTCAGTTGTGCCTGGGGGATAAATTTCACCTTTCTGCTTCGCACTGCAGTTTATATAAACTTGATTCCTTAAGGTTGAATACTCTTTAGTATATGAAGCACATTTCACATCATCTGAAAAACTTGCTTTTCTGGTACATAATCTCAGGCAGCATGTCTTTCAGAACGTACAGTGGGACCTGCAGTTTCTTTGAACTCATTGACCTCTGTTGTAGTTGAGGTTTGTTTCCATATGCTGCATCCTCATAACTGGGTTTTAACCTAAGAACAGGGAAAAATTACTGAACTCAGTCAGTTGACACTTAGCCTATGAAGAAGGTGGTAGGCTTGATTTAAAAACAAACAAAAAACCCCCCCAAAAACAACAACAACAATCTGTGATTTACTTCTGCTTTTCCATACAAGGTAAGGTTTATTCTTTTGTACTAATAAGGTAGGTCAAAAGGGTATCACAGTCATCTTGCAGTGCTGAAGAGCAGTCTAGATCAACATATGAATTCAATGTTAACAAGTCATGAACCAAGTTCATAGGCTGGAGGAGAAAGTGCTATTATGATTAGCACTTTAAGATTGATGATTTCCTCCTTTTACTTTTTATTTTAAAGGCTTGGAAATAAAACAGATGCTGCTGTTAATGAAAGGCTGAATTAACTAAGCTTTTGGTTTCCTTAATATTCATGTTTCTCTCTGAGTGTTTTAAGATGTATGCATAAAAGGGTAGTCATATGGAGAGTGACCGAGTGGTGGCTTATGACCTCTGTCTTCCCGGTACACAAAACCAGATACCAATGTGGAAACATCTCCATGGAACTACTTCCAGAAATAGAAATCTAGAGTAAAGCAGCTGATTCTATATATCCAAAATATGGAAGAATACTAAATGCAGAGTTTTGGAAAGGCAGAAGATTTCTAATATACTATACAGCATCTTCTAACATACACTGGCTTTTGCCTGTATTGCCTAATAACTTGGGGACCAGATGGAAATGTTTTCTGGGTTAGATTTGACCATCAGCTGCCATTTGAATCACTGTGTGTTTCTAGATGCAATTTTATCCCCTAAATCAATTCAGCAACTGATAGCCCACATCAAAAGGCCGTGTTTTGGCTAGAAATGTTGTATGTCACTTATTTTTTTCTGGGTTCAATTTAAAATGGGAAGGGGAGATAAACTTGGCCAGTGATGCAAAGGATCCTAGGTTGAATAGAAATAATTTTTTTTTAAATTTTGGAAACCTCTGGAAAATGTTCTGAGGGTCTGAAATCATGGCCTGATACTCATTATGTTACTTTCAAGAAATGTATTTTTAATTCATCTGTTGTCATCTTACCATATTTATCATATTTGCTGACTGCCAAACTTACATCTAATCTCAGCTGACATTAACTTTTCGCTTTGTGCGAGCTTCACCAAGTACCTGTGTTACATGCTGTGGTCTTAACATTTGAGCTGGGTCTTAAGCAAAGAATTATCAACAAGTCTCCTTTTTTTAATCCTATTCCTTCCTTTCTTGGAATTCATCAGTTATAAAACCTACAAAGAAAAATGTTGATTGTTCATGCTGGTTAGCATTTAGGATTTAATCAAAATTATCCTTGAAAAACACTATATACCTTATATTTTATTTCAACAACCCAGTATGTCACTACAGCAGAAGGTACTCCTCCTAAGACTGTTTTGGGCACCGAGGCCTACAAAGTATAGAGGTACAGCCAACATTGTTCTGACGTTGAGAGGCCACTCATGTGCTGTGTGGGAAATACAGCTTTTTCAGACCAGCCAAACCCAGATAAACACAGCTGGAACGAAGGCAGGAAGCATCAGTTCCGCTAGAGGGGTGTTGTAGGATGGAGAAGGAGAGAATCAGGTGTGCAGAAAGGTTGCAAGAAGGAAAAAGTCGTGTGTGTAGATGAATTCAGGAGGCCTGGTGTTCCAGGGTATTTGTTTGAGAACTTCTTCTTAAACCACTGAAACATGAAATAACATCAAGGACTTCTAAAACTGTCTAGGCTGTACACATTTTCTAAACCAGGACAACTTTTCTAGAATTATAAGAAAAGGAGTGGTTTGGTATGGTGGTGGACAGTGTTTTAATTTTAAGTATTATGAAGGTGCTTGGAAATTTGGTTTTGTCAAAGTAACAGTATGGAAATTATTGACATACTGCTCCAAATTGATTGCATTATTTCTTCTGTGTACCTTTTTTTCAGAAGAGAAGCTACAAAATGAAAAAGTTTCAAAAGAGATGAGTGAATTTATCAACAAAGAACAAAATAGTAACTCAGCATCACAGGAGGCAAAAGAAATTGAAGCAGATATGATTCATGAAAAGAAAAGATCTCCAAATGCAATCACACCTGATGTAGAAGTTAAGAAAGAGGGTAAAGACAGGACAGGAAGGAGTGGGTCCAGAAGCTCCAGCAGTGGTAGCACTAGCAGCAATAGTAGGAGCAGCAGCAGTAGCAGCACAGTATCTAGTTCATCCTATAGCACTAGCTCAGGTAGCAGTCGCAGCTCTTCACGTTCTTCCTCTCCTAAAAGGAAGAAGAGGCACAGTCGCAGTAGGACGCCATCACATAAGGTTAGGCGCAGCAGAAGCAGGAGTTACTCCCACAGAAATAGGAGAGAGAGGAGTAGGAGCAGAGAGAAAATACGGGAAAGGAGAAGATCTAGTAGAAATCACAGTGCTGAAAGAGGGGAGAGGCGGAGAAACCGGAGTCCTTCAAGAGAGAAAAGCTGGGATAGACGTAGAAGCGGTAGCCGCTCAAGAGACCGGCGAGCCAACCGTGCAAGCCGCAGCAGAAGCAGGGACAGACGTAAAGCTGAAGACCAGCGTAGAAGCCCAACTGGAAATAGGCACAAACATAAAAGTGAGGGTAAAGATCAAGACAGGAAGAAGGAGCAGGGTGGAGGTGTAGATAAAGACAGAAAAAAGAACAGAGAAAGGGAGAGAGATCAGGAAAAAAGAAAAGATAAGCCCAAAAAAGAGGAAAAAGAAAGTAAGGCTGGCAATCATGATGACAGTAGATTAAAGAGAAAAAGAGACAGTGAAAGAACTTTCTCTCGCAGTGATTCAATATGTGTGAAAATAATAAGACAGGATTCCAGACAGGAAAGCAAAAAAATTACTACCAAAGACAGCAAAAAGCGGTCAGGCTCTGAATCTAGTGCGAGAAGTAGTTCTGAATCACCAGGAAGCAGTAAAGAAAAGAAGGCTAAGAAATCAAAGCATATTCGGTCATGCTCCATGGAGAAATCTCAAAGGTCTGGTAAGAAGGCAAGCCGCAAACACAAGTCTAAGTCACGATCAAGGTAGTATACTTTTTAAGTATTTTGTCTGACTTTTAAATTTTTTTTTATATTCGTCTTCATGTGTTCGGCATATGAACTTTTTAAATACAGTATGGTATTTATTAAACTTTTTGTCTTGGGCAAAAGTAACTTTGAAAAATCTTTTAAAACTATTAATTACTAAGCCTAAAGTGTGTGGGGGTTTGGGGGTCTTTTATTTTTTCCAATTAACTTTTCCCCCCTTTTCCTTTATTTTTCAGATCAACAACTCCTCTTCGTCGTAAACGCTGAGGAATTTATGGCACCAGTGCTATGACGTTTAAAAATTCCATGAGTTATAAAAGGCTTGTCTCATTATAGAGGCACATTGTGGCTATGTAGGTGAAACCAGAATCCTTTTTTTATCTGTACATAGGTGTATTTTTTCCAAATGCTGCTCAGAATTAAATACCTAATAGGATTTCTTTGTATTACATTTTTTCAAGAACGGTAGTGCTTATTAAGACTATAAAACAGGCCATTCTCTTTCAGCTGTAATGTTCTTAAAATTACTATTGAATGTACTGTGATGTCAATAAAGCTCTTTAGTTAATTTTTGTTTAAAATTCTTGCACCTGAATTTTGTGTTAAATGGTAGAAAGTACTTAAAAAAAAAGGCAGCTTTTTTGGTATAACAAATTTTTAAAGTACTTGAGAAAGATTTAACATAAAACACTTGTCACAATATGTAATTCATGGATTTGATGAGATTATTGGGGTTGTGGAAGAACAGAGCAAAGACGTTTTCCTTTAGATATGTGTAATAGATTTTTAATAGCCTTTTTTTTTGGTCTAGCAAGTACTATATGCTGTGTGTGTAAAATATGGGTCACTGTAATACAAGCTATACTTAAACAGACTGAACCCCATTAGGAATATGTGCGACTAACTGATCTCATGTGACAGTATTAAGCTCTGGAACTATATTCCTCACCCAGATTTCAGAAAGAACTTTCTGGATGTTCAGGGATATTACACGAACATATCTCAGAATTTTAGATGTTTTTATGGAATATGTTTACAAATGTCACTGAGTACACATTAGAAAACTGACAATAGGTTAACTTTACATTTTGGCACATGCATTAATTAAATGCATAGTGAATATTAAAGCTGGTTATTTTTGTTAGCATTACGACAATTGCAATTCCTGTAAGGATAATACATTGATTAGACAGCAATTTTTGGGTAGTCAGTAAATTTTTGGGTTTAGTATCACTATAAAGTGAAAGAGGTCACTGATTATCTACTTTGGGAAATTGACTGTTAGTAACAAGAGTGTGAAATAATATCCGTTAAAAAGCAAACCAACAATACACAACCTTAGGTCAGTGACTGTTGCAGAAGAACATGAATTCAGGGAGAGATCTGTGCCTAGAAGGTCTGGTATGACACCAGTTGTGAAAAAGAAAAAAGGCCTAACAACAAAGTAAGTTTTCTTTAATTGGCTGTATCCTCTAAGAAAAAATATACTAGTACAGGCAACTTGCGAAGCATGTCTTCATAAACAGATTAATCCATTTAACTAAATTAGAATTAAGCTATGCAGCATTTTTCCACTGTAATTTTTTTCATAAATTAGATGCAGAAATAAACTGTTTCAGTGCAAAGAATCACATTTTAACTATGCCTTTTTTAAGCAAGCTAATGGCTAGTGAATACATGCATGTTTATCAAAACAATGTTACAGATAAAGAATTAGTTAATCAGTTATAAATTATAACACTCCCCCAACGCCCAGTTATGTCCTTTTACATAGACTAAACAAGTCATACCTATTAGCAAAATAAGGCATAATTTGCAGCACATCACTTCTACTTGCATCGGTAGGGGTATAAATAAAAATATGTTGATCCAATCTTGCTACACTCTTTGCTCTGGGTAAGAGTGAGGATTTTTTAAAAGTGGGTAGCGTAACAGTTCAGATATTTTAGAAGGATGCCTTGAGAGAGAAAGAAAGAAAGAAAGAAAGAAACTAGAAGTAACTTTAAGAAAAACTGTTGAGGAATACAGTTTCCAGAATGCATTGAATTTGATTTTCAGTTCAGATTTTATATTCTCTGTCTAATAATAAAAAAGATTGTGTATGAAAAGCTTTATATACTCTGCCAACAACTGGAACTCTGTCACTTCCTGTAAATATGAAAATTATTTTTTTGACACAAATGCACTTATATGGGTAGTGACTGTATGCCAATAAAAAGAGCATACGACCTCTGTATTTAACTGTTTCAGAAATCTTACTATAACAGCCTACTCAGTAATTCAATATCATCAGTACTCTGTCAGCATCACATACGTTAGACTTCTTTGGGCTTTAGTAACTCCCTTAGGAATGTTTTTCAATGGAAAAGGCTAAAATAACAACCAGACTTTTAATTCTATGCTTATGAAGTGATCCGAAAATATGCAAATATATACAAAAATGGGTATGTATCTTTCTGGAAAAGTCTAAATTGGGTTGTTGCTCTATTCTTTTACATTTTAAAATGAACGCCGCAAAAATGTTTCAGGGCACTGCAGGAAAGCAAGACATAGGATTTTCAATGTTATGCAGCAACATGACACTTGGAGGCATTTCCCTTGAAAACTTTTTTAATAAATAAGGGATAGTGTGGAATCAAATGAACAATGATTTCCATGCAAATTGTTCTGAAGATGAATACAACAAAACCAATGTGAATATGTACCCCAAGGTCCCCGCTATGGCATGTAAGAACAGGAACCAGCTGTGTTCATGGATAGGCCAAATAAAGAGTAGTTAGGTAAAATATTCTGACTTTAAAGATGGAGCAACTACATGCATTTTGAAATATGGCACAATAACAAAAACTCTGTTCTGTCTTTGAGGCCCTGTACTGTGGACAACCTCTAGTTTGAAACGAGCTTATCCTCTTAAGTAGAATACTTGCCAGTGTGCATATATTTAATTGTTTGTTACTGATTTTAAAATCACAAATATATAAGCAATGGCAACGTAAGGATTTGCTCTCGCCCAGATTTTGTGTTTCCTTTGCTAAATAAATGACAAGTAATAAATTAATTTGTATAAGTAATACTCAGATGCACAGTTTGAAAGAAGGCTTAGTCTTGTATCTTGAGGAGACTGTCCTAGCATATAGGATTTCTTTGAGCTCTGTTTTTTTCAGTAGCTCTGAGGTGTTATTAATGACTCTTAAGTTCAGTGCACCATGAGCTTTGTTGGATGGAAAGTAGGTGAGTAGAGAAGTGATGCAGGTTTGCAGTAGGTTTAATTGCTGTTGAGATAAGTTTTTTTGAGCCCTTTCAGCAGTCCGTATTTAGCTTTAAAAAGAAAAAAACCCAAACTTTACTACATAAATTATACATGGATTTATATACATGAATTTATAGAAGACCTGTAAACAGGCAGATTTCAAGCAGTGAGGGTTGTAAGCACCAAGCAAGGTCAGTTAAAGCAGAATGGCATTAGAGGCAAGAGCAAGTCAAACCAGGACTGGTTATACTACTCCAAACTTCCTGCGGTCTGGAGGATGCCCCTGCCCTTGGCTTTGTGCAGGCCGTGCTTCCTGCCTGCGGATGCCAGCATCCGCATGGCCAGGCAGGGAACCCGGCCTGTGATCACCTGCCTGGCAAGCACGGGCGCGCTGCCAGCTGCTGTTTCCACGGCTTACCTTTGTCTTGCTTTGCACCGCGCCCTTCCAGCCAGCTTTGGTTCTTTTTGGGCTTTCCTGTGAGACCTGCAGCTCAATAAAGTGTCAGAAAATGAATCTTTTTAAAAACTGGCTTAATTCTTTTCCATTTTAAGCTTGTTAAACTATCTCACCATGGGGATTTGAGAATCCTGAAGCCCAAGCTGGGGGGAAAAGGCTCCCCGTATCTGTCAGCCCTGAACTGCCAGAGCTGCTCACCTGAACCTCAGTCCAGGGCCCTGGGCTGCAGTGCCCGGCAAAGGAGAAGGGAAGGCATCCTTGTGCTTCCTGGGCCACAGCCTGGCTTTGTCTGCAAAAGATGACACGGCAGCCTGTGAAACTGGCAGCAGCAAAGCAGCCTGGATGGTTCCCAAGAGGAAGCGCTCGGGCGCTTGTCTCGAGCCCAGCCATACTGGGAGCCCAGGAGTTCTGCTCCATCCCGCAGCGGAGCACTGCAGACTGCTGGGAATCGCTTGCCTGCCGTGCCTCCCCTCTCCTTGAACGGAGGAGTCGTGTGGTTTTTGCCCTGCTCTGCAACTCCAGTGAGTTTCTTGGTAATAAAATAAACTGAAAACTGTTCATCGCTGTGTCATCCGAACGAGCCTCTGCTCAGGGAGCCTTTTCTTGTTCCAAGACAGGCAAGGATCAGGACTAAGGGGGTACTCACTTAAACAGAGTCGCTCCAGGTGAAGCCCTGGCGACAAGTGCCACCGTACGGGTTGGCATTCGCAGAGGCCCCAGCGCCGGGCGGAACCTTCCCGGCTCCCGCCCGAGAGTCAGCCGGCACGGCCGGGAGCGGACCGGGGCGGGGCGACGGCGGCGGCGGTGACGGCGATGTGGGGCGGTGGCGGCGTCGGGGCGGCCCGAGCGTTCACCCTCGCCCTGCGGCGCCGGCGGGCGGCGGCCGCGCTGCGGGGGGCTGCGGGCGGTGAGCGGGACTGAGCGGGCGGGAGGGTCCGGCGCGGCCCGCGGTACAGGCGGAGTGACGGGGCGTCGCTTCCCCGACTACCCCGCAGCCGGGACTCGCACACCTCCCGGCGGGTGTGTGTAGAAGCTCCTGGATGCGTCCCCGGCACCGCCGGCCGGGCTGGCAGTGCCGCACCAGCCCAGCAGTGCCGCACCAGCCCAGCGCCCGCCCGGCGGGCCCGGAGCGGCAGCCCGGGGCGGAGGAGGGGCTCTCCCAGTGGAGGTGTTTGTCCCCTGCCGCCTCCTTTGCAGCCCAGAGGTGTCTGTGGATCGCTCCATCGCTCGCTGCAGCTTAAAATCATCCTCAGGGGTGTTTTGCTGTGGGTGTGGTGAGGTACTGCTGTGGTCTTGGGGGCTCAGGGGACCGGGCAGCAGTTCGATGTAAGCGCGGGTGCGCTGTGCCAGGAGAGCTGAGCTCTGCATCGGCAAACGAGGAGGGGAGAGCAATTTCAGGACAGTGTCCTTGGCCTGTATGCACAGTCCGTGAGGTTTTCTTAGTTACGTTTCCTTACGAGTTCATACAATGCAAAATGGGTGTGCAGCTATGTATTTGTCATCCCAACACGTAATAAACCCACTGTCGATAAGTGTGTGTATGCACACCTTATGGTCAGAGTAAACATTTTGGGGAAATTCACACTAATTGAAACATTTCAGCTGCATGAAAAGCTCCATTCAGGTTCTGAAAAATGGCATTGCACGTGGTGGTCAACTAGTATACACTCTTATTTAATGCCCATGTACTCCTGAAGTATGATAGTGAACAAATGTGCAAAGATTTGCATGGTTAGTATTGTGCTAGAGCACCATTGTTACAACTGTGTGTTTTGCCTCTGAGCTCTCCTAAAGCTGATGTTTTTCGTTGGGTTGTCTTTTATTTATGCAGATGGCCATACTGATCTGTCTTTTCAGACAGGCCTGAGAGGTATCCTTCAGGACTACAACTGGAAAATACAACTGAAATCCAGTAGTACTCTGCCTGTCTCACTGACTGAAATGAAAAGCAGCATGTAAGTATTGCATCTAAAATAATCCCATGTGACAGGGATTACCATTTTCTATAACAATTTAATTTTACTTTGTGACAGTGTCACATGGAGCTATTTTTACATCTCATTCATGTTTAAATGTTTGAAGTGACCTATTCCTATTTTGTTAATTACCGACATAAAAATTACAGTCATGCAGCCATCTGTTTGGGAAGATGTGTCACCCATATAGTGTATAAAATCTGTGTGCTACTAAACAAGTTGAACTAGAGTCTCTAAAGGAACATGAGTTTTGCCTTTTTTCATTTTCTGATACAGAATTTGTTTTTCCTTAATTTCAGCCAACACAAAATATCGGTATTAGTTTAATGACATTCAGCTTTCATTATTTAGGCTCACTGCGAAGAGGCCTCTCTGCACTTCACACTCATCAGTGGATTCAAAGGAAATAAAAAAATTCCAGCTCCTCGCGGATAAGTGGTGGGATGAAGAAGGAGAATATTCAGCCCTTCATTCTATGAATGATATTAGAGTGCCATTTATTAGGTATGGTTTTGAAGACAGTTTTTCTTAAATGTACTATTTCTGCATAACCTCAGAAAACTTGTAAAAAGAAAAAATATAAAAGAAAAACAATTATCAGTACTTCAGGTAACTGAATATTGCATCTACTAAAGCACCTTGTGTGTTCGACCTTAATCACATCCCTTTTCTTTCAGAGATACTCTGTTGAGCATGAGTTGTAATTATCATCTGGGAAATCCACTTTCTGGAGTAAAGATTCTTGATGTTGGCTGTGGTGGAGGACTGCTAAGTGAGGTAAGAAACAGCGTGCCCTGTGTTTTCTGGTTAAAAAGTGTACAAGGTATTTGAATTGTTTTAATGTTACACTGCTTAATTTCTAATATTCCAAGGAGGACCTTTTCTCTTCTTTGTTATGTTAGTTACTGAATATAGTGTAATGTATCCTACAAACCCTATGGAATATTTGGTTTGCATAGTGGTGGTGGTGGTGGTGGTTTACAGAAAACAAGAGAGGTGGTAATGAGAAATTCTAAAATTCTGAGGTTTATCAGTAAAATAAGATTTCAAACACTCAAAAGGGAAGGAACATTAAAACGTCTTTGAGTTTGTTTTTTTTTTTTAATTTACAAGCCTAGGCAAGAATACTTAGAATCATGACAATCCTCGTTACCGAAGAAGTATTTTCTGATGTTACAGAGGCTTCCTGAGAAGTCTGCACAAACCTGGGACTGAGAAGTTGCTGTTTGTGATGGAACTCTTTGTCCACAAAGGCTCTGAACAGTGCTGTGTCCCATCAATAGACCAGGGATGGTTTGTGAATTTAGGGTTACAGATCTGGCTGACTTTCTCTGGGAACTTCATCAGCATCTGAAATGAGGTGTTACAAAGGGACCTGAATCTCTCTCCTGTTTTCTTTCTTTTTTTTTTTTTTCTCTTCTAAACAAATCCTGTAGCCTTGTGAGAGTGGTCTCTCTGACAAGGCTGGCAAAACTGGTGTGCTGCATCACCTTCTCAGGCTGAACAACCGGTAAATTTCAGGTTGGAATATCATACATGTGGTCATGTTCTGC